GTCTTTATTGTAGAGCAGGAAAGGTAGGAATGCAGTATATTTTGTAGTGGGCAGTGCCAGGCCCTCTGAAAGAAGAAAGAATCTGGGATATCCAAGTTTGAGGTGTAAGAGCAGGTAGTATATATCTGCTGTAGCTTGTGAAAACAGCCCTGGTGTCTTAGACATGCCTACTGCAAGAGGATTACTGACGCAAAAACACTGCTAGCCGTCTGGTAGTTTAAAGCTTCTCTTTAGACGCGGGCTTCGGAGCCATGGACGGGGTTCAACAAAGGGGGTAGCTCAGCCAAATTAATGGTGCCTCCACCAAGCAATAAGGGAGGTGAAAATTTGCAGGCCTGCAGTGTACTCAGCTGCATCTCTGGGCACTGGTACGAGCTGTATTAGCGCTCTTACTTTGCAACAGCACAACAGCAGCTATTGTTACTGCCGGCTCAGCTGTTTGTGTCCCTTGACTGTTGAAGGGAAGGAAGAGTCTGCAGGAACACGGGAGCACATCGTCTTCCCAGCCCTGCTCCCAGGGGAATAGAAGCTACTTGCACTTGTGTGCACACCCACGCAGAAGGGCAGGGGCTTGCCCGTGCCCCCTTAGGCTGCCCCTGTCTAGTCCTGCCCTGAGCTTTAGTGTATATTGTGAGTTTCCATTCTTTAGGGGAATGTTGAATTGCAGGAGTCTGCTTACTGGCAAATGGCCTGTGACTCCTCTGAGAGGGGCTGGAAATAAGAATTCTGATTTCTGGTGTAGGGGAGATGGAGATGCACTTGGAAGCAGTGATTCCTGCCTGTGACTCTTCTGTCAAGCTCCTTCTTCCCCAGGGGTCCATGCTGCTGGTCGGCCCCAGGATGAGTTTTGCTGTGATGTTGTGGAGGGCACTGCTTTGGCTCCGCGGCTCGGAATGGAGATCTGAAGCTGCACAACAGAGTAGTGCTGCCAGCAGCCCCTTCCTGCCTGGGGACAGAGCCAAAGGAGGTCTGTAGGCAAAAAAAAAGGACTTTGTGCCTGGGAGATGGACCCCCAACACCAAGGAAGGGGGGAAACCACTCCCTTCACAAGGAAACTGGCAACATGGTGCCACCTTATTGACCTAACTGCTCTGTTAGTGCCGTGGCACACTGGGGTAGAGGTGAGTGCCAGCAAGGGCTTTACGTCTCATCCTGAAGGTCTAACAGCAGCAGTTCTGTGGGAGAGGCAGTGCTGTGCACAAAACAGGGCTTTGTAGCTGATTTGCCAGAAAAGACGTACTGGAATATCAACATAGGGATAGGGCAGACGTGGAAGTCATGGATTTAAGCGTGATTGTATGTCGGGCCTTAGGGCATGTCATGCCTTAGAGTAGGGGATGTCACCTTATCCACAGCAAAGACTTGTCCCCAACATCTGACCAGCTGTACAGGATGTGTCTGTGCAGTCTCTGAGCTCGCCTGGCAGACACAAAATCTCCATCCAGGCTGTCAACAAAAAGCCATTCTCCAGGGCCTTCCTGGGGAAAGGGCAGGCTCTGAACTTTTCCCTGGAGGATACTCTGTTCCCTGTTTATTGCTCAGCACGCTTCTTTTCACTCTCGGCAAAATATGGTTTTTTGTGCAAAGAGAACAGACCTCCCTTTGGGCAGGGATCATTTGCATTAATTAACAGAGCTGTTATGCATGGCCACGCTCTGTCGCATAGGAGCCAAACAAACGCCTTCTTTTTTTTGTCATAACCCAAGAGTTATTACAAGTCAGCCGCCGCATCCGTTATAGCTGATGCGTAACACGTGCATTCGTGCTGCTGCCTGCTCCACAAAAGTGGGCTTGTATTTACTTCCCCACGCTGGAGCTCTGGACACTGCTTTACTGTCTCTTGAGGTCCAGGCACTGTTCCCCATTAATTATATCTTAGCAGCGCTCATAGACCTGCATTTCCTGGGAATTAAGTTTTACAAGGAAATAAGGAATAGTTAGTGCTGCCAGTGAGGCTGAGAGTCCAGGCACAGGGAGCAGCACAAGCGGCAGTGGGGTGTCCTTTCCCTTTTACCCCACTGATTCTGTTCTGATCCGTTAAAGCAAAAGAGCTCTGACAGGAATGAGTTATTGCAGAGTAGGGGACAGTGAGACTGGAGGGGCTGTACCCACGGGAATGAGTTATTGCAGAGGGGGGGACAGTGAGACTGGAGGGGCTGTACCCACTGCAAGCCTTAGGCCAGACCTATGCCAGAGCTCCGGGTGCTTCAGGATGGTGACCTGTCCCTAAGGTGGACAGCAGGTGGGCGGGCTGCTCCTGGGGAGGGATTGCTGAGGCTGTAGCAAAAAAACATCAAGCAAAGTTGTTCTGGCTGCCTGCAGTGGTGGGTCAGGTCAGCTGTGGACTGTCCCCTGGTGTGGGGATGCTCCTGGGAGCCCGGTGGCTGGGATAGCATCTCCCTCTGGCCCTGCTCCCTGCTCGGTAACATCTACCTTTTGGCCATTGGAGTCACTGCAAGGAAAGATAATGTCACCCTTGTCGCTGTCTGCATTTGTACTTGTGCAATGACTCAGTGGCAGGGCTGGGAAGAGAGCCCAGCACTTCCGACCCTCTCTGGAAATGCATTTGATTGCTGTGATGCCAATGCATCAGCTACAGCAGCCTTCAGCCTGTCGTGCCCTCTGTGTCTCTCCTCTGCCCGCTGGAGCTGAGTTGTGTGCCAGTCCTTGCCCATCCGGGGCCCAAACCTTTCCTCAGAAGTCTCGGAGAGCACAAGGAGAAGCAGTTCCATGTCACGGCTCCTCTGTCCTGTCCTGCGTTGTCCCCCCGAGTCCTCCCACCGCCGCGGAGCCGGGAGCTCCCATCCCTTGCTGGGGCATGACTTAAGTACTGATGGGGAGAAGTGTGCTCAGCAGGGTGTTGAAAAGAGAAACCAGCTCGAGCAGATGAGGAAAGCCCTCAGGCTTGCAGCTAGGGGGGGGAATAAAGGCGAGAAAGCACCGTCCGCTCTCTGCCACTAAACTGGGTCTGAAAAGGAGGTCTTGAGCCCAGGTAGAGATGCTACTAATTATAAACTGCCTTCGTGTGGGCACCTCTCACCCAGCAGCATCCATGCATGTGAATTAACGTGCCTAGGGATGTGTCAGCTCTCTGCAAAGCCCAGATGAAGGGTGTGGGAGGAGAAGGCCACTTAACTCGTGGGCTCTTCTTCCCTGTCAAGGACATGATGGCATCCTGCTGTCGTTGCTGGAGAGCATCAACAGGTGTTGCCTTTGTTGTGTGCCCCCGAGTCTTCCCTGCTGACGGTGTGATGAGGAATCTCGTATCACGCGGGATGATGCAGATAGAAGAGGGCATTGCAGGCTTCTCTCCTGCGCAGGAAAGATGTTTATTCATCTTTTTCCTCCTTCAGACTCTAGTAGATGATACAATTGCTATTTAAAAACGAATAGATGGCTGCATTCGTGGCTGAGCAGGCACAGCGTGGTGGGTTTCTATTTTTAGGCTCAGCACGGCTGGCGACGTGTAGGTGTCGTGCGGAGCGCAGGGGCTGAGGGGATTCTCTCGCCGCAGGGATGCGGGGGCAGGCGCGCGAGTGCAGCACACGGGCTTTTTTTCTTCAAGCTGCCTTTTTCTCCCGCTCCCTCCTCCTTCTTCTTCCTGCTGCTCAGTCATTCTCTCTTCACTCCCACACCTTTCCTTCGGGTGCTGCTGGCAGGGAGGCAGTCGAAACACCATGAGCAGCCTAGGTGCAGGGAGCATGGAAAGAGAAAACATATTTGCACAAATAAATGCCCTTATTCCTTGATTAGGCAATTTTTATTTCCTGTGAGCCGATCAAGTTTACACTCATGCTTCCTGCCTGGGCTGTCCCAGATTGTGTGGAAGGACACAGTCGACGCTCAGTGGCGTGTACGTGTGCAGACTGAATTCTGCATCAGGTCTCAGCTGCCCGATCTCTGTCCCTCTTGTCAGCCTTGTCAAACCAAAACCACCTGAAGTTCCAAGTTACCTCTTGGAAGGACAGCCAGGGTCTCAGAGATGCTGCTTCCAGGGAGATCTTGAAGCTCTGCTTTGCCCAAGCTGCCTGCTAGGCTGCTGCAGAACAGGACTCTGCGGTGCTGGAGCAGGACTGTTCGGTGCAGCCTCGAGGCTGTGGTGAGGTTGGACGTGTCTGGGTAGAGGATGCTGGAGGGAAGTGGAGACCAGGATCCTGTTCCCTAACTGACCACCTAGGAATCCCCAGCCTCTGTCTAAAAAGAGGCCTGAGAGATAAAACGGCAGGAAGAGTCAAACCCCTGGTCTGCAGGATTCTGTGCTGGGACTGTAGAGCTCTGTACTGCGATTGCCTTTGCCCTCTGCCTTATCCTCCGGAATTGTGTAGGCACAGGAAAGACAGCAGCTCTCTGAGCTTAACTTTTGAAGGCAGGTGCATGCATTACGAATCTCCTAGGATGTTCTGGAAGCTGGAAGGGAACAGCCACCGCTCGAAGACTGCGGTCCATAACATCACTCTTGCCTTTCAGGATATGGGATTCCCTGGTTATTTTTTGTTTAGGTTAATCAGGTGGTCATATTTTCTGTCTTTAGTGGTCTATTAAAGCTGTACTTGATCAATGCAGGACTGGCAGGCTCTGGTGAGACTTCTAAGATCAATGCTTCTGCTGATATTACATGGAAATGCACCTTGTTAGGCTGATTTGGAGATGGTGCAACTTCAAGGAAAACCAGTGTGAGCATGTATGTTGTAGAGCAGTACCCTTCTGAAGGCAGGTAAGGAGGGTGTCAATCCAGAGATGAACACAGCTGGGAAGCAGTGTCACAGAACAGAGAAGAGTCTCAGCATCGCTTTGCATTACTTGTGTTCCTCCAGGGACTGTCTCCTGCCCGTCGCTGGTTTATGAGCAGGATGATGTTTCCCTGGCAGAGGCTGGTTAGACAGGAGCCGTTCTTGTGCAGGGTCTTTGAGCGGTGGCAGGCATGCTCGGGGGCCGTGGGAACTGTCTGGGGCTAGAGCTATTCCTGCCTGGGTAATGCTTTGGTTTTCCCCCATGGCAGTGCCGCTGAGAAGGGAAAGCCCACCATCGACCACCTGCAGCCATGGAAGGGGGTGTGCAGCTCCTCAACCGTGATGGCCACAGCATCTCCCACAACTCCAAGCGGCACTACCACGATGCCTTCGTGTGCATGAACCGCATGCGTCAGCGCGGGCTGCTCTGCGACATCGTGCTGCACGTGGGCACCAAGGAGATCAAGGCGCACAAGGTGGTGCTGGCGTCGTGCAGCCCCTACTTCCACGCCATGTTCACAAGCAAGTAGTGTCCTCTCTTCCCCACGGCCAGGGTCTCCCTGCTCCTCAAACCCTCTCCTCCCTGCAAACCCCTTCCCTTTCTGTCCTGCTCCCTGTTCTCACTACCCTACCCTATGGAAATGTGATGCCTGTATATCATCTCTGTGAGCAAGTGCAGTAATATTCCTCATTTGGCTCCCTTCCATGAAGCCCCGTGCCTATAAACCCCTGCACAGCTATCTTGATGCCCATCCTGCAGACATGGATCCCATTCCCTAGAGTACACTGCTGCCCTTCCTTGCTGAGAGGTGGACAGGAGACCTTCCTTGGCCGTGTTGCTGGGCTGTGGGGGTGAATGCAACTTGTTCCGTGCATGGTTGAGTCTTCCTGCAGGGAAACAATCCTTCTGTGGGAATTTGTTCATGTCTAGTATCTGTGTTGCCCCAGATGAGATGAGTGAGAGCCGCCAGACCCATGTGACGCTGCACGACATTGACCCCCAGGCCCTGGAGCAGCTGGTGCAATACGCTTACACGGCTGAGATTGTGGTGGGCGAGGGCAATGTGCAGGTAGGAGCTTCCCCCCAAATCTCTCTTCTCCACAAAGCCGTTCTGTACGAGACTTGCCTCCTGGGGACTCTTCTCTCCTTCTGCTCAACACTTTCAGCTCTTGTCCTGTGATGGCACCTGCATCTGGCAGTGGTCAGGGAGCTGATCTCCTCCCCTGTGCCCAGAGGTGTGGTTCCTGCGACTGCTGTGGCTGAGGTGGCTCCTCCAGGCACTGTGCAATGGCCAGGTCTTGTCCTGAGCATCTGCCATTCTCTTGCCATTTCCTGGCCCTGTGGGGAGCTAAGGGTGTCCCTCTCAGCTGTTCTTTGGCTTAATCCTATTGGAAACAAATAACGCTCTGTCCTCTGTGCGCTTGTGTGCCTGAAGGTGCTCCATAAGCCTGTTCTGTTACTGACTTGCAGTGAGACGAGGGTGAAAATGGTTTCCTTGCCCTGGAAACTCTCTTTTCCCCCATTCTTTTCCACTGCCAGACACTTCTTCCTGCTGCCAGCCTGCTTCAGCTCAATGGTGTGCGGGATGCTTGCTGCAAGTTCCTACTCAGCCAGCTTGACCCATCCAACTGCTTGGGGATCCGGGGTTTCGCTGACACACACTCCTGCAGCGACCTCCTCAAGTCTGCGCACAAGTATGTCCTCCAACATTTCGTGGAGGTGTCCAAGACAGAGGAGTTCATGTTGCTGCCTCTTAAACAGGTGAGGTCCTGAGGGGAGTGTGAAGGTATGGGTGTGGTGAGGCTTTTCGTGCTCTGGAAGGCACAGTGTGTGTGTCAAGAGCCCAGGGAGCCTGCACGGAGGGGACAGGCTTTGGCAGGGGAATGTACCCAGATTCTGTGCTTTGATCCTCTCTGTTCAATGGAGAGACAATACATGGAAGGAATCCTGTCAGAGGGTGAGCTTAATCTCATGTGAAGTAGGGATGGGAGGGTAGCACAGAGGGTATTTGCTGAGGCTGGTGCTTGCCACGCGAGCTCTGAGCACACTGCCCTCTCTCTGGGAGCGCAGCCCAAGGAATAAGTCCTGGCTGCCGTGATCACGTAGCTGTGATGTTTAATTCAGAGCTCAGATAATGTTTTCCACTGCTCTTCATGTGGTGCCAGTATGGGCCCTGGCTCGTGGCTGCCTGCAGGGTGCTGTGCTGTGCCCTGGCAGGCATTCCCAGCCCTTGCTCTGCGTCACCAACCCTGTATGGTCCCTCCCCAGGATACAGACACCTCCCTTCGTCCGTTCTCGAGGCAGTGGGTGCGTGCAGAGAGGGAGGGTGCACATCTCCACTTGCTCCAGGTCTGTAGTCCTTGGCAGGTGAAGTGAGCGTGCTGGGAACAGCCAGGGCACCTGGCTCTATCCCATGAAATACTGAAGGGACACGTGCAAGCAGAGTCTTCTGCCTGATCTCACTGATGTTGATTGGAAGTGTCAGGCATTGCAGCAGCTTCAGACACTGAACAGGGCGAATGAGCCAAGGAGGATGATCGAGGGTAGAGCTATCTCCACACACAAGGAGAGGAGAGGCACAGCTGCAGCTGCCTGGTTTGGGGGACCCAGCTGCTCTTTGGATGCTTCTGCATCCAGTGAGACAGAGTAGCTCAACCTCAGCCACGAACATCTGCAGGAGGCAGGGGCTCTACTGCTGGGCTGATTACCTGGGGGTGTGAATCTGTCCTTTTTCCTCCCAAACTGTACCAACTGACACGTGCCCTTTCCACCCCTCTCTGCAGGTGCTGGACCTCATTTCTAGTGACAGCCTCAATGTGCCATCAGAGGAGGAGGTGTACCGGGCTGTGCTCAGCTGGGTCAAACATGATGTGGACAGCAGAAGACAGCATGTCCCCAGGGTGAGTCTGCCAGGGAAGGCAGCCTGGTTCTACCCACCTGCTCCGAGTGCCTGGTCTGGGTGGATACACAGCTGGAGGAAGCTTCAGGGCGGCCAGAGGGCAGGGACAGCAGGTCCCTGTCATACCACTTCCAGTCCAGGCATAGATGAGAGTGTTGCTGAGAGAGCTTGGTCTCCCAGAGTGAAGTCCAAACTACTGACAAATCTGAGAGAGATGCCCTGTCTGTCCCGTGGCAGCTTGGGCATGCCAAGCTCTGGGGGGTATGTGGGCAGCAGGAGAGGTCAGCCCTGCCTGCGGCCTGCCTGAGCTTTCCTGTGCATCCTCAAACAAAAAGCTCAGGCAAAGCTGAGCAGAAGTTCTGGCTCCACCTTGCCCGTGGCATGCACTCGAATGTCCCTCCTGCGGGCGATGCAGGCAGCATGGGGCATGGGGAGGCGGTGTCTGGGCTCTGCAGCCCCACAGCGAGGATTGTTACTCGTAGCATGAGTGTTGGAAGAGGATGTGGGTACCAGCAGAGGGTCGGGGGGGGTCTGGGGTGGCTGTGGGACATACCACAGCCAGGCTGAGGGCTCCTGGCCCCACAGAGACATCAGGGCTGAATCGCTGCATGTGCTTTGGTGCCCTTTGTCACCAGCTGCCTGTCCTGCCAAGCGAGCAGGATGACATCTCCAGGTGGAGTCAGCCTTGCCCAGGTCCTTGGGGTTTGTAGGGGAGATACAGGGCAGCGCTGGGACGAACTCTTCCCACCCTGCCATGGGGTGCGACTTCATGAGCAACGTGGACACGGAGCTGCTGGTGCGGCACCACTCGGAGTGCAAGGACCTGCTGATCGAAGCCCTCAAGTACCACCTCATGCCGGAGCAGAGAGGGGTCCTCAGCAACAGCAGGACGAGGCCACGGCGCTGCGAGGGGGCCAGCACTGTGCTCTTTGCCGTGGGTAAGGCTCTGCCACGCGCTCGCGGGCACGCGGACCCCTTCCCAGGGCCTTGGACTGTCGTTTGCTCCGTTTGCCATGCTGTGTGCAGGTGGGGGGAGCCTGTTCGCCATCCACGGGGACTGCGAAGCCTACGACACGCGGACGGACCGGTGGCACATGGTGGCCTCCATGTCGACGCGCAGGGCCAGAGTGGGCGTCGCGGCCATTGGGAACAAGCTGTATGCCGTGGGCGGGTAAGGAAGGCACGGAGCCGCACGCAGGGAGCTGGCAGGGATGCCCTCGGTGGGTAAGGAGGGCATGGAGTCATACGTGGGGAGCTGACGTGGATGCCTTTGGCGGATAAGGAGGGCATGGAGCCACATGCGGGGAGCTGGCAGGGATGCCCTCAGTGGGTAAGGAGGGCACGGAGCTGGCAGGGATGCTTTCAGCGGGTAAGGAGGGCACAGAGCTGGCAGGGATGCCTTCGGCAGGTAAGGAGGGCACGGAGCTGTGTGTGGGGAGCTGGCAGGGATGCCTTCAGCGGGTAAGGAGGGCACGGAGCTGGCAGGGATGCTTTCAGCGGGTAAGGAGGGCACGGAGCTGGCAGGGATGCCTTCGGCGGGTAAGGAGGGCACGGAGCTGTGTGCGGGGAGCTGGCAGGGATGCCTTCAGCAGCCTCTGAACACAGCTGGCACCGCGAGCGGCGCAGAGCTGCTCTGAGAGCAGAGATGGCCGGCAGAGCGTCCCAGGGCCACCCTCCGGATGAGGCAATGGGGTGTCTCCGGGTTGCTGACTGCAGGAGCAGCAACTGAACACTGCTCCGCTGCCGTTCCGCGCAGTGAGTTTCCTAGCTCTCTGCTTGCTGGTGGCTACATCCAGGACTCGCGCTGCTTCCTCCCGTTTGTCTTAGCCCCATGCCACTGGAAGCTGGGCAGGGGGAGAGGGGGGGGTGGTGACAGGGACCTGAGGCTGTTGGTCGGCTCTAGAGCTGCAGGACCAGCCCACAGCCTCACCTGCAATCCAGGCTTCCCAGCTCTTACGTGTTCTCCCTTTTTCTCCCTACAGCTACGATGGCACCTCTGACTTGGCCACAGTGGAGTCCTATGATCCTGTCACTAATTCCTGGCAACCCGAGGTGTCCATGGGCACCAGGAGGAGCTGCCTGGGTGTAGCAGCGCTTCACGGCCTTCTCTATGCTGCTGGGGGGTACGATGGGGCCTCGTGCCTGAACAGGTAGGGGATTGCCTTGCTACAGGCTCCTCCACTGCTCTTGCATGCACTGTCCTTGGCACTGGGTGCCCGGGGAGCCCACGAGGCCTGCTCCCCACAGATGGACTGGCCCCAGAGTAGATGTCTTGCAATCCAGCTCTGTCTTGCAGTGTCTTTGGTTCAGGGTAAAAACCATTTTGTAGGCTTGTGCTAAAACAGAACATGGCCTTTGTCAGTTCTTCCTTCCATTTTCCCTGTCTATTCCCAAGCTTCCTTGGGAGCTGCCCCTGAGGGCCTGTGTCAAAGAGCTTTGACCTGGGCTTTGCCAGTGTCACACCTTATGTTCCTGTGTCCCTGCCTGCTGCAGCGCAGAGCGGTACGACCCTCTGACAGGCACCTGGACATCCATCGCTGCCATGAGCACCAGGAGACGCTACGTCCGGGTGGCAACGCTAGGTGGGTGATGGCATGAGGACCTGACTGATTTCTGATCCAAAGCAAAATGCAAGACTGTCTCTTGCATTTCTGGTGGTTCCTTTTGATGTTCTTCTGTTCCAGTTCCTGCCCCTTCTTCCTAGATTCCCTAGCTGTGAGTCTGAGTAGCCCAACCATTCCTCTGCATTGTCCTGCCATGCTCCCTGCCTCTGCCCTCCTCCTCAGTCTCCTTAGTAGTGGGTTTCATCACATTCTGGAGGCAACTCCTGACGGGACCCACAGTTTGATCCTCAGCTCCTTTGCGCCCTTTCTACTTTGTAGCAAGAGGACTGGCTGTGGATGATCACCTGCCCCTGGAAAGGAAGAGACAACCATTATGAAAGCAGGACAGTCCTTTTACTGATGGTCCAAGCAGTAGTGCAGGGTCAAAACTGTCTTTACTGGGAGTGTCAGAACATTACGTGCCATGCTGTGATGTCTCCTGACTCCAGTGAAGGAGTTCTGTCTCTGTCCTTAAGGAGGATGCAGTGTGAGAAATGGCCACTTTATTGTTTAGTGCAGCTATGGGCTTAATGCAAGTGCCACTCTCCACCCTAGCAGGTGCTGGACCTCCCTGGGGATGCCAGGGCAGCATGCTGCTCCCACCGTCCCTGGAACTGCTGTGCGGTGTCCCTGTGGTGCCTCTCCCCTGCCCTGTTCTCTGGTTTCAGCTCTCAGTGCTGACTCAGAGGTTCCCTCCCTCCCTCACCAGCTCTGCTCTCTGCCTGCCACGGCCTTTATTGGCCTTCCCGAGCTCCAGCCTCCGCTGCTAAAAATAACCCATTGCCGTGGCGGGGAGCACTTGCAGCTCCGGTAATGAGGAGGTCAAGAAGCATCAGGCGAACGAGCTCTTTGGGAAGCTTGCAGCGTGGCAGAGAAATTGCCTGATGAATATTTTACAATGCTCCCTGCTGCAAGGGGAGGGGGAGATGGGGGAGCCCTGGCTGCCCGGGGAGCGGGAGGCACGGTGGCTCAGCTGATACCTCTGTGGGCACCTGTGCAAGAGTTGTGGGAGGCTGTTTTGGGGCTGGGGCCACGCTCTTTAGCTAACTCCTGTGCGTGTGTGTGACTGTCTTTGCAGAAGGCAACCTCTATGCCGTTGGGGGATATGACAGCTCATCCCACTTAGCCACAGTAGAAAAGTATGAGCCCCAGGTAAATACGAGAGACAGCATGCCTGGTAACCCTTTTTCTTCCCCTCTCCTTTTCTGCTTCTCCCTTAGCAGAAAGCTAAGGGCCACACAAGTTGGTGGAGAGCTTAGCAGACAGTGAGAGATCAGCTACGTGTGGTCTCTTAGCAAACTGCTGCCGCAGCTTACGATGTGACCGCTTCCTAGCAGAGCATTGTGGCAGCAGTGGAGCAGAATGCGTGCCCACATGAGCCTGTGCAGCACAGACCTGCCTGCCTCCTTGGAGACTTAAGCCACCATGTGTGACCAGGAGATGGACTGGGCACCAGCCCTCTCCCCTGCATTTCTGCAGGGGCAGAGTATCTGGGGTGCAATCCAAAGCAAAATGAGCCAAAACTCATCCATGCGGTCTCTGAGATACCTCTTTGAGATTTTCAACCACGGGAACACTCTCTATCCCCGTTGCCTATAGGCCAGCACAAGTTCCCTAGGAAGAACAGTTCTTGTTCATGCCCTGAGCTGTTTCCAGCTTCCAGCTGAGGTCCTTGCTGCATGCACAGCCAGAGCAGTTAGCAGGGCTTGTGGCAGGCTGGGGACACGTCTTGGGCCTGGGACCTCGCAGCTCTGTTAGAGCAGGCTGGGTCACTGCAGAAAGATCAAAGAGAAGGTCCTGGAGGTTTTTGGTGAGCTGTAAAGCCCCAGTTGTGATGTTTACAGATTTGAAATAGATACAGCTCAATCCCCATGACTGGGCTGGGGTTCAGCTGTGACGTGACTGGTGGTCTGGCACGATGATCTCTGTGCTCAGGCCCCTGGGATGGCAGGACTCCCGCCAGCTGCGGCTGTGCTTTCCTGAGCCAGTTGTCAGAGGTCTGTCCTGGGGCCTGCAGCTCCTCCTGCGAGCAAGTTGAAGGGAAAGAACTGGTGTCCCCCCAGAGGTCTTTTTAGGGGAGGACTGTGTGGTTAGAGCAGGACTGATATCACAGGACTGGTACGTGGGGAACAACTTGTACATCTGGCTCATGAGCAAACATTGCCTTTTCCCAGATCAACACCTGGACGCCCATTGCCAATATGTTAAGCCGCCGGAGCAGCGCAGGAGTGGCTGTGCTGGAGGGGATGCTCTACGTGGCTGGCGGCAACGATGGGACCAGCTGCCTTAACTCTGTTGAGCGCTACAACCCCAAAACCAACACATGGGAGAGCGTGGCACCCATGAACATCCGGAGGTAAGGAGCTCTGCCCCTACCATGCTCCTGAGCTGCAGCGGAGCCTCAGCTGCTGCAGTCAGGAAAACGGGGATCCCATCTCACCGAGAGCCTTGCCGTGCTTGGCACTGCACACTGTAACGTGCAGACCGTGCCCCAGGGCCTGGCTAATGCTGCAGTTGGCTGGCTCTGTGCTCTGTGCTGCCTGCACAAGGGCAGCCCGCACTCCCTGCTGCGCTGTGAGGGACCGGTGCATGTGTGCCAGGTGGGCAGAGCAGGGACATTCTGCAGCAGGCGCTTTCTGCGGAGGGATTTATTCTCAGCAGTCTGTGTGGCTGTAAAAAAACAGGTGGTATAGTTGGCTGAGGCCAGGTAGGAGATGTTGCTGGGCTGCAGGAGAGTTTAAAGCTTGGAAATCAGAGGATTTTAGGCTCCTAGGGTCTGTTAGTCCAGTGAGAGGAGGGTATCGGAGGGAAGGGGAAGATCTGACGCTCTGTGCTGCACTCTGCCACTGCCTGCCCGAGCCCCAGCAGATCATTTTCACTGGGCATTTGTGAGGCTAGGTGCTCCTTTTTGTGGGTGGAGGAGCTCTGGCCAGTTCACTGGCGGTACTGAGCCCCCCTACACCCCACATACGCTGTGTTTGAGCCTCACACCCCTGTGGTCTCTGCATGGTTGTTTCAGGAGCACCCACGACCTGGTGGCCATGGATGGGTGGCTGTACGCAGTAGGTGGCAACGATGGGAGCTCCAGCCTCAACTCTATCGAGAAGTACAACCCCCGTACCAACAAGTGGGTAGCGGCCTCGTGCATGTTCACGCGCCGGAGCAGCGTGGGGGTGGCCGTGCTGGAACTCCTCAACTTCCCACCCCCTTCCTCACCCACCCTGTCGGTGTCTTCGACAAGCCTTTGACAAAGAATCAGGACCTACCTTACCTCAAGGGGACAGGGGCGCCTGGCAGAGCGCTAGGCCAGCGTGGCCCGTCCCGCGGGGCAGCCGGAGAGCGAAGGTCCCCGCTGCTGCCTCCAGCCCCAGCACTCCTGCGAACCCCCGGAGCCATCCCCACTCTTGGTGCACACATCGGATCAGCACGACCACAGCAGTTAGAAATGTGCTTCCTGGACGAGCACCCTCCTAGAAGAGGGTGAGCAGAAGGGGTGCTCTCCGCTCCGTTCAGACCCATCTCACCGCTCACCCAAAGGGCGTATATTTTCTTTGGGGAGGGGAAACTTTAAACCATTGCTGCTTCTTGGATTCACGTGATCCAGCCAGTGCCACACATACGAGCACAGCCAGCCTTGGAGGCTTCTAGGAGTCCTGTGGGGTGGCGAAGGTGGACAGCACTCCTCCCAGGGACACGGCTGAATGTGCAACCACTCCTCTGAATGTCACTGTAGCCAAACTCTTTACCAAGCCTATTGTGCACTGTTAAAGACTCTGAGGCCACCGCATGGTTCTCAATGGTGTCTAATTGATGCCTTAAAATACACAAACAAAAGAAGCCCAGCTAAGGGACAGGGCCTGGAGGAGGTGAGGTTTGGAGTCAAAACTGGACGCAGCATCCTGAACCCTCCAGTGTTTCCACACTCAGCTGGCCCCACCTCGTTCACTAAGATCCCAGCTGACCGTCGCTCTGGGGAGTCCCCAGCCAGGCGAGTGGGTTGAATGACCTTGTTTGTGCCCAGGCCATTGCTGTCCCAGGTTCGAGGGACCGTGCGGCTGCCTGCTCTCTGCATGTGGTCCTGGTGCACAGTTCGACTGGGAACAGATGAGCCTGTTTGCTGTTCGCCTCTCTGCAAAGCAGATTCTGGGTTTATGGAAAGGTATCGATTCTTAAAGAAGAACAGTCCAGCCTTCAAAATGAGGAGGATTGCCTGGCGTTACTTTTTTGGGCATTAATTTTTTGCCTTTTTTTATTTGAATGCTAATATTTTAATTATTTCATATCCCTTTATTTTTTACACTGTCCTGGTATTCCCCATCCCATCTGCTTTTAAGGCAGCAGAAGGGATGCAATTACTTTTTTCATTTGTTGATGAGATGATGACTGTGTCCTGGAAGATGTTCTCTATAGATGTGTGGGTGTGTGTGCATGTGTGAGATACTGTATGTACAGTGAGAACAACACGGAAGGGACCATTTGCAATTAGCGACTCCCTGGCAATTAAGCAACCACTTTAATTGACTAAAGGTTGAATAAATTAGTACTGTAAGTCACAGGCCTGTCCTAGACCCACCTGTGCCATGGAACCTCTTGGGTGGTGTTTTCAATGCGTATGCCATAGGGTGTGCGTACGAGCCTTGAACTGAGACATGTTATCAGGTGTTCTCCGCATTATAGAGGAATGACTCAACCACTGGTACCTCAACAGTGTTCAAATGTAGCATTGGAAATATGGTCTAACTGTTTGTTTGGAACTAGTTCCTTTATCCTTTTTCCCCTGCTCCTTCTCATTTCTCATTTACAGAGTTCAGATTTCACTTGTGATGGTAGTTGTTGCCCTACGTCTTCAAGTGGCTAGAGATTTCTTTTTTTCTCTTTTCTTTGGGGTGAAAGGAGAGTTTGAGACGAGACAGGGACTCCCCAGCTTAAGACAATTTTTACAGCAATCTGATTTCTCCTGGACAGATGCCTGCATGTTTTACAAGCCCACTTACAGTGCCTAACATCAGACACCTGAAATTACCAGCAGCTTCTGAAAATCTGGGCTGCTTCTCTCCCCAGGGAGAGTCTGGGCTTCTCAGGCTGAGGCAGCTTTTTTGGCTTTTAGAACACACTCTAAATCTGCTTTTCATCCCCCTCTCACTTGCCAAGCCTCTGTCCCAGCCTGTCACAGCTCAGCAACTCTCCCGCTCCTCTGTATGGCAGAGGACCCTGCAAATGTCCAGGCTCTGCTCAGGCAGGATGCCTCTTGGTCAACGTGGCAGTAGGGCTGCCCTAAGTAGGTCACACGCATCTGCTTTGTTCAAAGTAACGATGAAATCGGTGAAGCCTGCTCTGTTGTGTGCGTGCGTACGCATGAGCGAGGTCTCAATCTTTTTCTTCCCGTTCCTATAAGCAACATCAGGATTTTAGTCTCTGCTGGACTCGTATCAATGAGCACACTCGAGGTGCCCCTGGCTTTAGGGTCCTCTTTGAAGGAGGATCAGCCTAAGACCCCCACGGCCGTGTCAGAAGTGAAAGGTGCTGGTGCTGGGCCTTGGCCCGACGTGCTGAGGTCCTGCCGAGGCTCCGCGTGAGCAACAGCGGAAGGACGGTGGAGCCCAGCCAGCCCGCGGAAGGGAGTGCTGTAGGAGCAGGAGGGGTTGTACAGGGGCAGAGGGGGGCTGCTGAAGGGAGAAACAGGGCTGATTTAGACAAGGAACGAGTTGTAGCAGTGGCTCAGCATCTGGTCCAGCTGTGGCTGCTGTAGCATGAAGGGGGCTGCTGCCTTGGGGTGGCAGGCAGGCAAAACCAGAGGGGAAGCGAGCAGTGTAGCAGGCTGAGGAGAATTTTTGTGCCATGTTGCCCTTGGCCCCAGTTGTAATCTTTAGCAATTTACACTACAAATGGTGTGCAATGCTGTCCTGCCTCTTGGGGATCAGGGAAACGGGCAGCGTGACTCCTGGCACCCACCAGCTGGGTACTGAGCAATATCACCACGGAGCCCGTTCTGCAGAACCCTGGGAGGAGGGAGCCTTTTGTGTCTCTGATGTACTAACTATGCAGGTGCTCGCTGCTTTCCTGTAAAGGAGAAAGAAGGAAGGACAGGGAAAAATAGTTCCCCAGCAGTTTGCAGGGGTCCGGAGCACCCCTACCCACACTGTGTGGACACGAGGTGTCAGCATCTGCCCTGGGAGGTCCCAGGGTGGAATTGCTTCTGGTGCTGCACGCCCCTTGCCGAGCAGGAGGCCTTGGAAGGGACGTGCGTCTGTGTCTGTCTGTCTGTGCGTAGTACCCTATCTGAGGGGAGGAGAACTGTTAACTGTGTTTGGCTTCTCGGCCAGTTTTAGTTAGTGGTGTCTCACCTAACATGTTACTTGTGCGATTTCCCACGTGAGCTTTTCCCACTGGAGGAGCGTCCCTGAGCGGGTGGCTCCAGGCTGTGTGTGTTGACGTGTTTCTCCCAGGGACCCCGGTGTCAGTCTGCAGTGAGACAGCAAGGCTAGGCAGGAGCCCTTGCCCCGACGGGGGGAAGAGGCTCCCTTGGCCTTACTGGCAAGCAGACCCAGTTTACTCCATGTCAAACCGTCGTCACTTTGATTTCTCTGTAAGTTATCTGACTTATTTATGTGGAACTCTGTTTCTCTGAATTTTTTGCACTACATGGGATTGGGGGAAGGGATACAAGCAATAGAAGCCAACATGTACAATAAAGACGTTTTCTTGAATACCGGATCCCGCCTCTTGCATCCTTCCTTTTCACTTCCCTGGCCCCGCTCCTGTGGCGCAGGGACCCACTGTCTGTATTGCCCTGTGCAGAGGTGAGGAAGGAGCCCCAGGCAGAACATAAGTGTGGCCAGCTGCTGCGCAGGCTGCCGGGCATCTGTGAGCAGCCATGGGTGACATCTCATCTGCCTGGGTGCAGCCATGCCAGGCTTCCAGGCGTTTGCACGGAGCAGGGACAGGCACCCATCTGGAGGCCACTTTGGACGTGCCCTGCCATTGTGGACGTTAGTAGAGAAGGCCAGAGGAGCCAAAGGCACCTTTGAAGGAACTGCTGCCCCACAGGTGAGCCAAAAGAGCGGCTCTGAGCCCAGGTCCCAGCCCCGTGCTCAGCTGGCTGGTGCCGGGTGCCTGGCCAGGGAGATTGCTGTCCCAGGGACAAGGTGCTTCATTTTCCCAGAGGGGATGCTGTGCTGGGGCTGTCCACTGTTCTACATGCCTTAACCCTACCCCAGGGAAAGAACAGGGCAAAGATGCTAATGGCATTGGAGACTGCTGGGAAAATCCCAGCCCAAGGCCTCGGGGCTTTGGTGGCAGACTATTTACACCTCTTCCCACCATTAAACTCAAGTTTGGTCTCTCTAGGACTCCACCTCCAGTGCTGGTGACAGCTTTCCACTGCAGTGGAAAGGAAAAACAGATGAGAAACACCCTCCTTTACCTCCAGCTGCCACGTGAATGTTGCCTGGGGGCAGGTGTTGCCTGGGGGCAGGTGAAGCTGGTCGCCCCTTCAGCGGAACAGAGAGGCTCTGCAACCTCAGATCCACCTTCGCTCGCTGCCCCAGCCACTGCTGCCTGGGGGGGCAGAAATACTAAGCCCATTTCATGGTAATGGGGGTGCTGGGGGTGAAAAGAGCAACAAGAAGCTGCAAGGCAACATCCCATGGGGCCTGAAAAGGAACTTTCCCATGCGTGTGTGCTGCAAGCCCCGCAGGAGAGCAGTTTGCCCAGCAAGCAGAGATGGAGAGATGCCCTCAGCCACTGGTCACAGCTGGCCCTGCCAGCGCGGTGGTGTCACTGGTGTCCCAGGGAGCCAGACCTGCACTAACAGCAGGAGAGAGGCAGTTATATCACTATTTTGAGCTGTAAGGTTTTATTTGGAACAAACACGTTGGAGGAACAGCACATTTCTGGTCACAGTGCTGACCGCGTTAGCCACGGCCTTTAAGAGGAATCATACTTTTCCTGAATGAAAGCCAGTTGTTGCTGTAGGCTGTAATTTTTGATCTCTGCCAGGAGGTACTGGGACGTGGCTTTGCTGTTGGAAAGTTAATTCACAGCTGCGCAGAGAGAACAGGCAGATGGAAACAGAGTCTAACAAATCCAGTACCTCCATAAGACCTCACATAGCAAATCCTAGTTTGATTCAAGCAGGTTTTCTAAGAAAACATCCTCTCCCAGTTTTAAAAATCCCTTGTTGAAGAAGCCATCACAGTCCTCTGCGAGTTATTTTGCTAAGAAATAACCTTTCCTGTTGAAAATGTGT